TAGTTCCAAGTAATTCATTGCTCTCCATAGGCTATCTCGAACTGTGACCTGTCTCTGCCTCCAAGTAGCTGATGGAGATGATCATATTAGCCTCACTATCAGCAGTTTCTGAGAAATCATTGGGGAAGAGTGAACGGGATAAATAGAATCATGAAAAGACTTTGAATCGAAAACGACGCATAACCTCTGATAGCGATAGGCCAGAATTTGAATAACGCAGTGGATAAGCGCGATCTTTATATATGATATCCTCATTATTCTGTTGTTGGTCTCATCCGATCTCATCCTTTGAGAATTTGGTCTGTTAATCTGGCATTTTCGAGGATGTAATCATTTTTTGTTAATCACTCATTGACTGGAGTTCATTTGTTTTGTTATAAAGTCGTTTCCATTGGAATCGCATCAGTTTAACTATTATCCTTGTTAAATATGAGTTAAAAGAAATATTGAACTTTATGCAGACATCAGGAAGGTATTCATCAAATGTTCACCGTTCATTTTATGATTCACTGTAAATTAATGTTTGTAATATATATCCTGTCTCGTACTCATTTTCTGAGGAATATCTCCTTTTGCAGTTATTAACGCGTCTGTTCTAAGGATTATTATCGTTGTTAACAATGATTCGTATCATTTACTATGACGTTATCGTTATTTTATCTTCAATATGCTATAAATGATAAAATTATATTTTCTCATTTCATTTGTAATGAACGTTTTGAATAAACGAAAACACATTTACTTTTTGGAATTGGTTGTTTTTTCCGTTGTTGTCGTTTGATGTCGTTCAGATCCCTACAATTGTGAAATTTGCTAATGAGAAGCAAATGTAGTCATGTCAGCACATATCAAATGCATCATGCATGCAATATTTCCTATGGCAATTGAGACATCTCTCACACGGATTTCTATCAAACGCAATTCCTGTTCTTGAATTTCCCACTTATTACTCTTGGGAATTGCTTCCTGAACGGGAAAAAGTCATAAGCATCTCAATATCTATCAAGGAGAGGCTAACATGTATCAGAGGCGAAAGGCTCTTCTGAAATGTCGTAATGCGATTCTCTTCAAGGAATATGATTGTAGGAATGAGCGCTTTACAATATAAATGAGTTTATCCAATCATTTGCATATATATTCAAGGTCATCAAAAAATCGCGCGATCAATTTGCAAAAAAAAAGATTTATTATCATTTGCTCGATTAAGATCGGAAATATGAATGAAATCATCAATTTATACTTCCATATCATCACTATTCATGAACTAATGAAGGACTTATTATTCGCATCGGGTCTCTGAAGCCCAGTAATTGTACGAGGCTTAACTCCGTCCTTTATAATTTTCATTCATTCTCGACTTTCATGACAATTAATTGCTTACCAACGAAATTACGTTTGAGAAACAGGATAATGGATGAAAGTAATCGTCATCAACAACAACAGACACAGCAAGTCCAACAGCAGTTCATACGATCGCAAGATAGTTTTCAAGGATCCGGAAATTCAGCGCATAATGTCAGTGGCACTGTGCATGAATCTGGAATCAGTGAGCTTGGATCTGTATCATCGTTACCGGAAATCCATCGAAATGAATCAGTTGAAGTTGTGGATCTTCTTGAGGAGGTATTTGCATCAACAACATTATGCATATTCTTCCATTTGTGCGGTTTTTCCCATTGAGTGGCGATTACTAAAACTGAGGAAAGGAATTATGCCTCTAAAATGAACGAACAACTCACGTTGTCAGTAATGTTTTCGCTTTTGTAGCTTCTTCGTAAAGTTGAAGTTGGAAATTCGGATCATCGACAACAAACTGATGCATCGTCAAAAATAGCGAACACTCAAGCAGAACCACTACCATTGGAGCCATCAAAAACAGAACGAGAACCTGATAAAAGCAATACTGCCAGCAGCTTCGTCTCCACAGCTAACGAGCTTCGCGAAGAAAAAAGAAACGAGAAGATATTCCGAAAGGGGACTGCGTTTCTTTTGCAAATGGTATTTGCCGTTGTTTCGTTTACATTTTTTCTTTTTTGTCCGATTCACTACTTTGAGACATCGGCAAAAATTCTGTACTGTTACAGATTGGAATTGTTATTTTTCGACTCAGTACTAGGTATATTCTTATGACTTAGCCATTTGCATATTGAATGTTAATATGGTTTTGTATTATAGTCTCATTCAAAAAAGGAAATATATTCTCATTCTGTTTGATGTAGTGATATAACTTATGTTATGAGCGGTATTATTATGGTGTCATGCTCCAAGTTACAGATGAGAGAAGAGAATCAACGAGATGCGCAAAAATCCGTGCCGAAAGGCCAAGGAACTCCGAAAAGTGATAGTTCAAATTCGAACTTCACTGACAAGAAGGAGCAGTCGTCTCGAGCATATGAGAATTCGAGACGCGATGACATCTCGTTAACAACAAAGCACCGAGCAAGACCGAATGATGCTGAGGACGTTGTTGTTGCGGTGAAACGATCTAAACTGTCGTTGGATTTCGAGAAGATGACTCTTTTACAACGTGAAAGTGCAGTATTCAACGATACGAAATACAAACAAACGTTCGGATTTTCGTTTCCGGGCAACATTTGCAATAATTATGTACGATGTTGTAAGTGGAGTGCGAGTGGTGAGTACTTGTTGACGTCGAGTCAAGATCGTTTGGTTCGGGTGTTCCAGCTGAACGACACTCAGAAGCAGGTAGGGTGCGATATGATGCGATTGTTATACAATTCATTGAGTTACTTCTGCTTTTGATCCATATGATCTATTCATTCACTGGTTTTATTTAGACTCTACGATTGTCTCAA